GTAGGTTAGTAACAAGAGCTAGTTAGTAATAGACCTGAGCTGTTCAGTCAGGCATTTGTAACTAATTGCCTCTGAGTGATTCTTTAGAAGCAGCTAGGGGACAGGAAACCTCTGTTTACACACAGGTGCCCTGCAGCCTCTCCTGGCTCCCGTCAGCTCCCCAGCTTCCAGTGAACAGCACCTATAAGGATCACCTCCACCTGTCCCTGGGGGCTTGCTATCGGGGATGCACAGGGCCCCAGGAAGCAGGCCATCTCTCTGGGCTGCAGTAGAGCTAGGTATGCCCTCAACACCACCCCTGGAGTTAAGGGTGCACGGCCGTAAGAGCAGCACAGGGCATGGGATCAAAGTGGGCCGCAGTCAGCTGTCTGTCCAGAAGGAGGCCGCTGCCCTGAGTAGGGCAGGAGTGGGGAAGGGGAGAGCCTGTGCTAATGAGTGCTTTCGGGACTCCAAAGACGCAAACTCGTGGGAAGCGGACAGTGGAGGGGCGGGGCTGGGAAAAGATGAGTGACGACACCCCAGGTCCACCCTTCACAGAGCATGCGGGGCCAGGCATGGTGGAACATGCCCTTAAACCCAGCACTTGAGGTAGTGGCCAGCCTGGTCTACACAGGGTGTCCCGCCACGGGGCCTGAGTGGGTCCAGGCTGGCCCGGCAGTCTCACAGCGGCAGCACCAGGAATGAAGAGAAAGAGGCTCATGGAAGGAAACAACTGGGTAGAGGACTGCACAGGCTGTCCCATCCACGCTGTCGCACCCTCAGGGAGGCACCGCCAGCTCTGGGCTTGGGCCTGGCCAGTGTTTCCTGTTGCTTCCTTCTAGCCACCCAAGCCAGCTGGGAGAGTGAGCTCCAGCCCTAGACCCACAGGGTAGGGGAGAAGAGACTCCACATGAGTCACAGCATGTGCGTGCAAACACACACACCCAAACACAACAGGAATGTCTAAAAAAGGAGTTTCAGGGGGCCGGAGAAATGGCTCAGTGGTTAAGAGCACTGACTGCTCTTCTAGAGGACCCAGGTTCAATTCCCAGCACCCACATGGCAGCTCACAACTGTCTGAAAATCCAGTTCCAGGGGATCTGACACCTTCATACCAATGCACATAAAATAAAGATAAATAAATCATAAATTTTTTTAAAAAGGAGTTTCATCACATAATGCTAACCTTTCAGAGTCTGACAGAGTCCCACAGATCTGAAAAAGCAACAATAAAGTGTATCACCCCTGTGGCCGCTCTCACGCCACAGCGGGTCCTTGATGCCAGCGACGCTACAAACCAGCTGCAGAGGACAGAGAAATCAGTCTGGGGCGGAGCTGGCGGCCACGGTCAGGGAAGTCACTGGGATGGCTGAGGGGAAGACTTACCTCCCACAGACCTGCTGGGATAACGGGGCCCTGTGTACCCCACTGCAACAGGCCATGGGGGCCAAGCCACTGGCACAGCAATGACAGGACTCTCACAGGTGTCAACAACTACTTCAGGTTGGCTGGAAGCTGCCTACATGTGCTGGGAGATCACAGTCTGCAGCAGGGACACAGCTGCTATTGTAGGCTGGGTCTCATGGCGCCCAGGCTGACATCAGATTCTTTGTAGCTGAGGATGGCCCTGAACTTCTGATCCACCTCCTGAGTGCTGGGACAACAGGCATACACCTGGCTTTACGGTGCTAGAGACGGGATGCAGTCAGGGCTCTGTGCACACTGCGGTTTGGGGGAATGTCTGCGGAGTGCCCGTTAAGACGCCTTCTACACATCTGTGCTTCCATCTAAGGATCATGGCGGCTGCAGGCCCTGTCAGTCACAGAGGGAAACCAGCCAGGCTCCTGAGGAGAGCTGACCACAGCTGTGGCACATGGACCAATGGTCAGCCTTCACTGGAGAAGACACCACATTTTGCTCCTAGGGCTCAGGGTGTGTCACGGAAGAGGAAAGAGTGGAGGGTCTTCGGGTGTCTGAGGCTCAGAACTCTGCCTCAGTAACTTTCCTAAATTCAGGAAGTGTAAGCTCACAGACCCGCTGCCAAGGCCACACACAGCATTTGCTGGGGGCAGACAGCCAGCCCAGCGTGCCAAGCCTGTCAAGAGTCGGCTTCTCAGTGATGAGCCCCCCCACAGTCCTAAGGGCTCCCCACAGTCCTAAGGGCTCCCCACAAGTCCACTGCTTCACTACGCTCAACCTGGGTGGAGTCATTTCTGTCGTGTGGGTGAGCTATCTGGGGCACAGAGATTTGGTTTCTATCTCCCCACAAGTCACTCAGCATCTGGGCTCTCAGAACTCACTCCTCCTGGTGGCAGACTCCTCAGGGAGAGACTGGATGTCACCAGAGGACCTGCCGTGGAAACAGGCAAGGAGCCACGCTGGCTTGAAGACATGGATGGACAGCAGTCTGCAGCAGGACCGGCAGGGTCCGTATTAAGATGCTTGGGTCTCACACAGACCTGGCCTGCCCCCTTTTAACTCAGCCTACACCCTGCAAGAAGCCCTGACCTCTAGGTAGCAGCATGGGGAAGCTCCTGGAGGCCCTGGACAGAGGGCAGGCAGCCGTAGGACTTGTTTCAAAGCCAGCACTGCTGGGGCCAGTGTTGTCAACTCAGGAGAACTGAGTCCTTGGCACCAACTGCCCACCCATGGTCCCCACAATATCATCTCTGCCTCTCCAGGCTGTTGGGTGTGTCCAGCTCAGGGGAGGGAAGGGGCAGAGAGCAGCAGAGTCTGGACTCCTCCTGTCATCTGTGCTTAGAAAGCCGCATCGGCACACAGTAAGTCCATTCCTGTGTGGCAGCCATGGCTCCTCTCTGTCCCCGCAGCAGAGCCCTGTTCTGTGGGCTCGGGATGGGCTATCTGTGAGAGTGGCTTTTGTGAAAACCGGAGATCGAGAGAACTGCCTCTCCTCACAGCGGTCATTATGACCACAAAGGCGCATTCACGGTCATCCGCTCCACGGCACACATGGCAGCCTTTCTACTCCATCAGCACAGGCCAAGACCAGAACAGGCCAGGCTCTCCTAACAACCAGTTCCTAAGGCTCCGAGTCCCAGCAACACCTGAGTGCAGAAGTCCCGACAGCAAGTTTATTTAGAGACATCTGGGCACCATGAGCCTACCTCAGAGTGGTGGGCAACCAAGACAGCGAGAAGTAGAACAATGGGGGCCTCGGGGACACCAGAGGCCTGACGGGGAGATGGGCAGTGGGGCTCAGGGACACCAGAGGCCTGCCACAGTGCCATGTAGTCCCTCTGCATACTCCTCTCCTGGTAATGGAGAGAGGGTATAACTGGGGACATTCGGTCTTTGAGTCAGAGTCACAAAACAGCAGAGGGTCCAAGCCTGCCACCAAGCCACCTCCTGCTCAGAGAGCCAGCTTCACTACTGGCATCCGGAACAAGCTGTTGTGACCCAGTCAAGAATGCCACCTCCCAGATGTGGGAACGGCAGAGACAGCTGCTCTTAAGCAGGATAAAGTCCAGGTGACAGCCATTGCCTGCCCAGATAAAGTGCCCAGCCCACAGCTTCACTGCCACCCAGGCCCTTCTGCTCAGTCTCCAACCTTAAGAGGAAACCTGGCCTCACACTTTTGTCTAAACAGCTCCCTGGGGGAAGCACTCCACAGGTGACAGCTGCTGCTCATCCCCAGGGAAAACACCATTTCTCACAGCCTGGCCAGCACCATCGGGGAGAACAGATCAGAAAGAAAGGCAAGGCCGGCCAAGGCAGGTTCAGTCGTGATGTCAAAGACAAGACAGGAGGGGCTGGAGAGATGGCTCAGAGGTTAAGAGCATTGCCTGCTCTTCCAAAGGTCCTGAGTTCAATTCCCAGCAACCACATGGTGGCTCACAACTATCTGTAATGAGGCCTGGTGCCCTCTTCTGGACTGAAGAAAGAATACTGTATACACAATAAGCAAATAAATAAATATTAAAAAAAAAAAAAAAAGACAAAACAGGAAAAAGTAGAAAAGCTGCAGCGGGCATCAGCTGCCCAAAGAGGGTTATTTCCAGAGCCAGGCCAGTTGCACAGTTATGGAGCCAAATTACGCAGGCCCATACAATGCCTGGCGCTACACAACACAATTGTGCCTTCCACACAAGAGGTGGCTGCCTGGCTCTTTACAGTAAACAACCTGAGGCCTTCTGAGCGAGTGGACAGGATATGCTAAAGTCCTTCTGTCCCTTGCCTGGGGAAGAGGTGTTTTTCAGTCTACTTGATGAAGGCACAGACAAAGAGGTGACCTAGTCACCCCCCACCAGAAAGCAATCACCAATGAAGTTTTTGTTAAGCTTCCTGCTCAGTTTACCTTGATATAAAAGCTGTTTGGAAAATAAACGCAGGTGATTTCAGGATCTGAATTATCTCTGAAACTCCCTCCCGTTACTGTGTGAATTGGAATTGTGTCTTCATTTGTTCCCACGCCTCCACTCTGGTACAAGAAATGATTTATGTCTGGGCTGGTCTGACACCAGGTAAACACGGCACAGAGTCCTGGACCGCTGGCAGGATGCAGCAAGCCCTGACAAACTTTCCAAAGCGCATGTCCAGCCAAGAGCTGGCCAAAGGGAGATGTGGGCCCC